TGACAGTATAGCTGGCCGGGCCAATCACGCCGACCCACAAGCACGCCGGCACGGCCCACCATGGGGCAGGCACGACACAGGCTAAACGGGTCGTGTCTGGGCCTCGAGGCTCGGCACGCGGGCCAGCACGACACGACCCATTTATTAATTTTTATTTTTCCTGATGTGTGTGTGTGTGACCTAAATTACAGTCCAATAGGCTGAAAAACATGCGGCCCGGCGTACTAAACGTGCCACGGGCCGGCCTGTTTAATAACCAGGCTGTGCCCGGGCCGAGGAGCGACACACGTGGGCCGGCACGGCATGGCCCGTCTATTAAACGTGCCACGGCGGGCCGTGCCGTGCCAGGCACGATTGGCACGGGCCGGGCCCGTTTGGCCAGCTCTGCCTGACAGTTACACGAGAACCCCACTCTGTGTGTGTCTCTCTCACTGACTCGCCCCACTCCCCCAACCCCAAGATGCCCAATTCTCTCCTGCTTCTCCTCCTCATCCTCCGCGCAGTCGCCGGAGACGCCGCCGCCGATTCGGCAGACCCCTGCGCGGGCCGTAGGATCCACATCCGGGACTTGCCCCCGCGCTTCAACACGCATCTCCTCCGCCACTGCGACGCCGCCTTCCCGCTCGCCGACCCGTCCTCGTCGGTCACCTCTGCGCCGACCTGCGAGTCGCTCGCCAACCACGGGCTCGGCCCGCGCACCCACGCCCGCAGCCGCTCCTGGTACCGCACCGACGCGCGCCTCCTGGAGCCCTTCTTCCACCGCCGACTCCTCGAGCGCCGCTGCCTCGTCGCCGACCCGAGCCTCGCCGACGCCGTCTTCCTCCCGTACTACGCGGCGCTCGACTCTATCCCCTACGTGCTTGACCCCTCGCTCCTCAACTCCTCCGCGCTTCACGGCGCGTCCCTTGCCCAGTTCCTGGCGCGCGACCGGCCTCAGATCCTGGCGCGTCGGCACGGGCACGACCATTTCATGGTCCTCGGCGGGTCCGCGTGGGACCACTCGCAGCCGCCGCACGCGGAGCCCCGGCTGCTGGGCACCACGTCGCTGGTCAGGCTGCCGGAGTTCGAGAACTTCACGTTCCTGGCGCTGGAGTCGCGCTCGTGGCCGTGGCAGGAGCACGCGATCCCGCACCCGACGTCTTTCCACCCGGCCTCGCTCCCGCGGCTGGAGGCTTGGCTCGCGCGCGCGCGGCGCTCCCGCCGCACCACGCTGATGCTCTTCGCCGGCGGCGTCTCGCGCCCGTCCAGGCCCAACATCCGGGGCTCCATCCTCGCCGAGTGCGCGAACCGCACCGACGCGTGCGTCGTCGTGGACTGCTCGGCCGGCAAGTGCTCCCACGACCCCGTCCGGTACATGCGCCCGATGCTGGGTGCCAAGTTCTGCCTGGAGCCGCCGGGGGACACGCCGACGCGGCGGTCCACGTTCGACGCCATACTCGCCGGGTGCGTGCCGGTGTTCTTCGAGGACGCCGCGGCGAGGCGGCAGTACGGCTGGCACCTCCCCCCAGGGCGGTACGGCGAGTTCTCCGTGTACATACAGAAGGAGACGGTGGTGCTCGGGGGCGTGAAGATCGGGGAGACGCTGGCGGCCGTGCCCGACGCGGAGGTGCGGAGGATGCGGGAGCGCGCGCTGGAGATGGCGCCCAGGGTGCTGTATCGGAGGCACGGGAGCACCGCGGAGCTGAGGGAGGCGGGCAATGACGCGGTCGACCTAGCCGTGGACGGCGCGCTCCGGAGGATACGCAGGCGGGCTCGCGCGCTGGAGGAAGGCCAGCCGGAGAGGATATACGCGCAGGAGGACGACAGTGTCGACGCGTAGGACTACCAAATGTCAAATGAAATGCTCTTGAAGACATTCTCTTGGTCCGGATTTGGGCATTTCTATATCGTGCACTCCGCAGTTTACCTGCATCTTTCGCTTTGAAGAGTGTACATTTGCTATGTCATCCACGACCACGAGATTAGTTCTTGTAAATGTGGGCAAGTCATTTGCATTTTCAAGTGTTGCTATAGAACTAGACTACTGAACGAAGTGGCTAGAAGGAGAATAGGATGGTTGAAGTCTGTATTTTTATGGTTTAATGCAAACTGGTCGTGATCACATAATAATTCTTTTTGTAGTAGGTATTTATTCCTCAAAAATAGTGTTACTGCTAATACATTCTCTTTGACGCTGTCTGGGACACGGTGCTACCTCTAGATCTCCCTGCTATTGGACCTTACAAGGTAGCAATTGACATAAGTATTCATATAAGCTTGGATATATTTTATGTCTTTCTACGTGATTCACATAACAAGTCAAGCAACTGTGCATATTACTCTTTCTTAAATTCTGAGAAGTATTTTCCACTGCAACTGAATAAGAACATGCCATTGGTTTTTGGGTTAGAGTTAGGGCAACTTCAACACGCCGATGCAAACGGACGTGTTTTTTGTCCGCTTTTCGTCCGTTTGAATCGGCTGAAGGTGTGCTGTTCGGTCGTGTCCGCTCAAATCTACCCGATGCGCCCAACAGGCCGACACCTTTTCGTCCACTCATCTGAAGCAAATTTAATCTAAAATAAGCCAGCTCGACCACTAGGATGTCTCTCGACCGCTTCCTTTGCGCCCAGGTGGATGACCCGCCGACCACAGGTGTGGCGTTGAGGTCGGTGGCCATGGCCGTGGGGGTGGTCGGCGCGATCACGCTCCCTTTCGACAAGCAGTCCCCGGGCGAGGTGGGGAAGCGGGACATGGCCGGCTCGTGCGGCGGAGGAAAGACGTGTGTCTGCAGCATGGTAGATGAGCGCGGCGACTCTGACAGGGGCGGACAGGCAGCCGGTGAGCCCGTGTTCGCCGCGGCCATGGCGGGGCGACAAAAATGGCCGACTCCGTGCGAGGAACCGTAGCATGGCGAGCGCCCGCTGCATGGCCTTGGTGAGGAGAACTTCATTCTCCTTAATGGCGGTCTCTTGTTGAGCGGTGGCGGCAAGGGCGGCCGCGACTTCCTTCTCTTTTTTTCTCCTTCTGGACCCTCCTTCGGCCAGCCCTCTTCTCGGACTGGATGGCCTTATGCGCCGGCATCAACTCCTTCTTGGGCACGGGGTGGACGGCCTCGCCGTCGCCCATGGCATAGGAGAGAGCGGCGACGACGGTGGGGTTTGGCGCGTCGGTCATGGTGAGTGGGCGGGAGGTTTTGAGGAGAGAGAGGAGGAAGATGGGGTGGATGTGCCACCGACGGGTTGGCCATGGGGAGGATAAGGGCGGACGGCGCACGCGTTCACACCAACGCAAACTCGACCCAAATTCTTTTTTCTGAAAGATCCAGCAATTGGTGACATTTCATTTCATTAGCAGGAAGCAGTGGGAGAAAACATGGGGGGGGGGGCGTTCAGGTCCTTGGACCAGACACGGGAGTGGTGTTCGTCATACAGCAACGGACCAGAGATTTCCGGCCGTGAAAAGAGGAGCAAAACTTATTTCTCACGGTGGATCCCAGAAGGGGACTCGACCCAAATTCGGATTGGAAATAGGTTACGGACTGACGAAAAATGTATGCACGTCCATTTGCATCGGCGCGTCTAGCCGTTGTTTGCCCATTTCGATCCAAATGGAGCGGCACGGACAAAACACGGCACGTTGGAGTTGTCCATCTTGCCATGGGAAAGACCGTACCTGGTACTCCCTCTGTCTCAACATTCTTGTCTTAAATTGAAGGAGTACTATATTTTAGGACGGAGGGAGGGAGTACTATATTTTAGCAGCAATGCCATAGTTATCTGTTGCAGACTCATCTTGCAAGAGAATAAGACGAAAGAAATTGCAGGTTAGTTGAGTTGGGATGGGGGATGGGGGCGGATTCTTGGGTAGTTTGGTTGGGAATTAAGAGCATCTACAACCGCAATCTATAAATTTAGGCCCTCAAACATCCGCAGACGTATGTGATCGGGGGGCTCTAAATTTTGTCATTTGTAGCCATAAACCTTATTTTCAAAACACCTGATACACGTAAACACATGCTCGTCGATCAAATTGGATGTTAGTCTGTATTGGGCCGGCGGGGCTCTTTACAAACACCATATAAATTGATCGTACCTAAGATTTTCATATACGTATCGAACGGCAGGTTTCAGGGTTTAGTCTCACCTCGCCGCATGAGGAGCGGTGCGACCGATTAAATAGCCTCATCGTCCAGAAGCAATAAGCTTCGATCATCATTGCACCGCTTATGAAGCATATTGATTGTCACTATTAATATTCTCTGCTTATCATAGAAAAGATCAATAGTCATTGTCTATATTCTTTATTATTCATGGTATATATCCTTCACAAATGGAATAGAAGATGAGGTTAACGACTTAGGAATGGAGAAAATAAGGCAAATGACTTAGGAATTTCTTTGGGATCAAATGAAACCAAACCAAGGTTGTCAAATTCGTTAACGATCTTTTTTAGACTTCACAGTGGAGAGGGCTTCCGAAATCATTCATACTCTTGCATCTATGAAACCCATAAATGACAATGAAATGAACAATTTAGGAATGGTTGATCCAGGGCCGGTCCTAAGATTTTAGGGGCCCGGGGCGAAAAAATTTACCCGCGGCCCTTTATAAACCAAATGATAATTACCATATGCATGTTTACATATTTTTAAACATAAGTTACTCTTAATGTTTTATCGATAGAGTGCAAAACCAGCATGTCAACTGAGTTCCATGATCTAATTATATGATTATATTAAGTTTACCTTACTTTTGTCAAGATTGGGACAAGTTTCATGCGTATATTTCATAGTTTGTCACACAAAAGTTACTCTTATAATGTTTTATCGATGAACTGCTCCCGGTGGCGTGCAGCTAGAATTAGATTTATAATTTGCAACACTAAAATTAATTTGGCCACCTAATTAGATTAAAGCGACCATGCATTCTCCAATTAGTTTCAGCTCGACTATCATAATTAATCCATGGATCCCAGTCATTCTCTCCCATTGTCTTTCATCAACCTCCAACAGAGCAAGACTGATTAGTCAGAAGGACAACTAGGTCCAACTCTTCTTCTCCGCTAATTCACTAGCTCTCCTATTTCAGCCACTAACTAGTCACATATCTAACCTAGCTAGCTCTTGGAAGATGAATCAACACGATGCTTACCCGATCTGTTGTTCAAAACTGCCTGTTGGGACCGGCGGGCGGTTGTGTTGTTACTCCTGTCCACGGGGATGAAGAAATTACCAGAGCCGCCGTTGGAGGAGGAAGTATCAGGAAGGCGTCCGTGGGAGGAGGCTGCGGCGGCGGGGTCGCCCTCGAGGTTTGGGGAGTCCTGCGTGATATGTGGTTTGTCGATCGCTCATGTCATCGTGCGCGGGCCCAGGAGAGGCAAACGGAAATTCCACGAATTTAGCGCTCACTGATTTACTTACCCCTGCTCCATGTACGCTGCTGCATGTACACGCCGTTGTATCTAAAATTAGCCCAGAATCATTTTTTTCACGGGCCAAATACAACACAGAGCACACATACGTGAGGGCCCCTCTGTCTCGGGGGCCCGGGGCAGCCGCCCCCTGCCCCACCCCCCCTCAGGGCCGGGCCTGGGTTGATCTCGCAAATATATGTAATTATCTTTTGCCTAGTGCGGAGGCTGAGGATGAGGAGGATTCGGAGACTACAGACACGGTAGAGCCTCTCCTGACGGAGGGTGCAGTTTCTGTCGTGGCCGATCCTACTTTCCGGCAGGGTGTTGAGGAGAAGCCCAAACGGTCCTGGAAGCGGAAAATGTATCCTACTTCAGCAGTACGCAGAAGTGCCAGAGTTAAGCTTAAGAAAAAATTTCATGATGATTTATGAAAGGACTCTTCTAGAATAGCAGAGGTCTAACTGATTTGGCTAAACAAAGATTCTTAGCAGAGACAACGATAGAACAACAACTAGACTTTATTGCACTTTTGGAAACTGGACGAGATAATTTCACATCACAGTTTCTTCAAACTCTCTCCAATGGTATCGATTTTGACTGGCACATCTTACTTCCTAGAGGAAGATCCGACGGGATTTTATTAGGAGTACGGTGTGAGACGTTAGATGTGCTTAATGTGGTTCAGGGAGACTTTTCGGTTAAATTCAGGGTGCAATCAAAACTGGATGGGTTTCGATGGTCTCTAGTAGTTGTCTATGGGGCATCACAACCTGAATTCAAACCTGACTTTCTGGCCGATTTGGTGCGGATTTGTGGAGATGAAAATCTGCCAATACTAGTCAGGGGGGGGGTTAATATCATCAGGACGAGAGATGAAAAGAATAATGACAATTTTGATGGACGTTGGTCTATGATGTTTAACATGATTATCGAGAGTCTCAATTTGAGAGAAACTGAGCTCACTGGTAGACAATTTACATGGGCCAACTCGTTACCTATTTCGACGTATGAAAAGCTGGATAGGGTACTTGCTAGTGTGGAGTGGGAACAAAAATTTTCGTTGGTGGCGGTCCATGCGATGCAGAGAGCGATCTCGGATCACACACCACTTCTGTTAGACTCGAGTGAGGCTACCCATGTGGCAAATAAAAATGTCTTTTCCTTCGAGCAAAGCTGATTTGAGCGAGAAGGATTTATGGAGATGATTGCACGAGAATGGGCTAAGCCGGTTAGTGGAAGGACACATGTTGAGAGATGGCAAAATAAAATTAGACATCTCCGACAGTTTCTGAGAGGTTGGGTCAGAAATGAGAGTGGGATTTACAAATAAGAAAAAGAACGTCTTACTCAATTGATTGAGGCACTAGACTTAAAAGCTGAAGCTACTCTTCTTTTGGTTAATGAGCAACAAACCAAGTCCGAGGCTGAGCAAGGTCTACGAGCTCTCTTGAGAGAGGAGGAGCTGAAGTGGGCGTTACGTGTGAAAACGCTTAAGGTTGTCCAAGGGGACAACAATACACAATTTTTCCATATGGTTGCAAATGGTAAGCATAGAAAGAAGAAAATCATACAGCTTGAACAGGACGAGGGGACAATAGTGGGACATGAAAATATGAAAGCATATA